TATCTGCAACTGAAACTGTAAAACTCGCGTCAGAGAAATTGGAGAAAATGGAAAATCTCAGGGCGAGTAGTGCCCGGGGCAACTAATATCGTTGAAACTCGAGACAGTATAAAAAGGCTTCAGGCTCAGGGCAACTGCAACTCTTTTAACCCTGGAGGACTCCGTATATTGTGTCAGAGAAATTCATTCAAAAGGGAGAGAAAGATTTTATAAAAGTCAAACACTCACTCACTGTAAATGTATGAAATTTCTATAAAGAACTTTCGCTCACTCTAGTAGTTTTAGTTAAGTTAAAACAAACAATACTATTACATCTTCAATAACTAAGTATCCTCTATTACTTTTAGAAATTATGTAAAGAAATAACGAATATAAAATATCTATATAGTAAATTACGAAATAAAATAAGATTAATTGATAACTCCATGATAGAAAATGTCCATCTTCGCAAAAGGAGAATAATCATTCGTCCGTTTTTTTTAGTACGATTCAATGCAAGCAAAAAAGAAAGAAACTTTGTCTCTGAAATTTCTGTATTCTGGTTTCCGTCTTCTGGCGCAGTTAACATGTGTTCGTTCTGAACAGCTGAAGACGCGTTGCGTCGTACGAAACAGCTTTCTTGGCTCGAGTTCCCGCCGAGTTAGATAAGCGACTTGGCTTTCGACGCGGTCGAAAATTCACTGCGAAATACATTGGTCGTACAATCGCGAATCGGCTGCGTGTACGCTAACGTAACGCCTAAACGCGCTCGAGAGCGGCTTTTGATAAAGTTATATATGGCACTGACTCATTATAATATCGCGCAACCTGTCTCCGCGACTGTTCAACCAACGATTTGGAACGCTCGGCTTTTCAGGAAAAGTGTCGCGATAATGTCAGCAAAATCGTTTCAATTAAACCGCCAAGTAAAATTTCAACGATCTTTCAACAATCTTATACCAAAAAGACGACGAGAACAGCGTTTTCCTGTTTCTTCTTTTCTTTACTGTCTTTACCAAGTTTGCCGAGCTTAGATTGATTTTATTCGAGGAACTCAGCTTTCATTGTGACTGTAAACGCACATTGTCCGATAAATGCTCTTCCGTCGTATCAGATCGCTTCCGTTTACGCGCGCCATCTCCACGAACGCATGAAACGAGCCAATAATTGACACGAGGGAAAACAATGATGTAACGAAGGGACAGAAAAGAGGATCGAACGGAATGATAGCCAAATCGAGAAACACGAACACGATCTTCTATCGACGTATGCCTTTTACTACCTGTAGATAGGTCGAAAATGCAAAGGTAAATAAAATCGTTTTTAATCACCATATGTTTTATTCGAGACTCTGGTCCATCGTTCGAAAGATAATTAACGAAAATAAAGATTGAAGGGGCCATTGCAGCAAGGGAACACCTCCGCTTTCTGATAATTTCGGTAAATCGAATATTGCTATAAATCGAGTCACTGAGAAACTATTTCCGACCAACGAGAAATTATATTAATCTTTGAAATATCGCCTTTTGAAATGTTTTCTGTACTCTATTTCCCTGTGGCACGCAAACTTATGAAGATAAATCCTTGCCCAAAATGTCGAATGCAAATTCGAAATAATAAAATTGAAGGATGGACTCGTTTGAGACGCTTCATGGACTTATCGTCGACCAATATTCGTAGTAATAATAAACTCCCGCGCATTTAAATACAAGACCTTCCCTTCTCTTCCAATAAATGCAATCTAAATATTGAAACTGTTCTCCTTATTGCGGCAAATCCTTCGATCGAAAACAAACGACATAAAGCGCTTTGAACCGGCTTCGAGGAGGAGGAGGAGAAGGAAAGCTCTCGGAAAGAAGCGAAAAGAGTCTGAAAAGAAGGAAACTGAGAGAGAGAGAGAGAGAGAGAAAAAGAGAGAGAGAAAGAGAGAGAACGCCTACAGACGGAGGCGGACACACGGAAAAGAAAAGGAGATAGAGAATGGTCGCGTGGCCGTGCGTGGCCCCAAATAGGGCATCAGGTGGTTGCACGACGCCCGCGAGAAAAAGATCGTTTGCGCGTGCGCAGACGCGCGTGTGCCTCTCGTAACCAGGCACACGCACGCATGTATACGCGCGTTTAGCAGAACGGCACGCGCGCGCTCTTACAGGTGGTGGCAACCGGCGGTGTGCCACAGGAAATTGCTCCTTTGCCGTGGCAAACCAAGCCCGGAACTTTGCCGGCCTCCCGTTCACCCGGATTATTTGCTCGAGCAATCGAACACCGCTTTCGAACAGATTCGACACGTGCCCGCCCGTCCACCGTGGCAATCTGTCTCACTTGTTGCGCGTCTGTTTTCGCCTCCTTCCTTCGCACTCCGAATCTGATCGAATCAGTCACATTCAGCTAAAACTCTTTTATAGATATCTGACTGCAAAAATATCAGGTGTAGGTACTACTGTTGAGAGATTGCTTGATTATGATTGACGAATTGAAAATAAGTAGTTCGATTCAATGATCTGGGAGTCGCATACCAGGGGACGTAAAATTGTAACGTTCTTTTATGAATTATTCTACGTATTATTAGTTTAAAAGATTTATTACTACTGATTAATTGAAAATATGTTCAAGTAGTTTCGTTCAATGATACGTCGAGGCAACTGCATTGCGAAAGGCAATTTAATCGCGATCAATAATAACCCGTGACTCGAACAATTTAACATAACCTAACAAGTGAGGTGTAACGTAATGCTAAGCGTAGCGACTAAATAACTCTCTCGGTTTCGAGAACGATCTCAGCGAAGCTTCGTCTCTAAGCGGGCGCGCTTCAATCGATAAATGGTTTCATGAAAAGGGACGCTGGTGATAGCCGCAAGCTCTCGAGCCGACAATAAACCGACGTCTATCATCGAGTGAGGCGTCGGTACGCCGGCGCCGACCGCGTCAGCAGCTACGAGCTTACGCAGATGGAAGAACAAGGGGTGGTGGACGCGCATAGTCCCGCATTCGTGAGATTCTCTGCCACAGATTGAATAGTTGTCAACGTGAAGAACCTTCCTGCATTACCCCATCCTTTTTTTTTTTTTTAAAGAAAACAAACCTTTCTCATCTGGAAATACGATGCTAAACTGTATGAAACAAATTTGCGTTTCAAATGCTAGTATCTTCAAGTTTCACGTTTCTAAAAATTCATTGCAGTACATTTCACGCGATTTTTCTCCTTTAAATCCTCGAACGTGACTTCTGCTCGAGCTGCTCGTCGCGAGAAAGACGAGCGCGCGCGCCACGTCTACGTCACGCTGGTCTACGTCACTGGAGAACCGCGCAGCGGTGGGGGCAGTGCGAGCACGGGGGGGAAGTTAGGGGAAGGTAGGAGCGCGCGAAGGGTGGCGTGGTGGGGATAGAGATGCCTGCGAGCAGTGGCTCGCAGTGACGACGTGCTGGCCGCGTGGTGAGGGTAACGGCGCGTGTGTACGTCTACACACACGCGCCACGGTACATACGCGGTACGCAGACAGGCGCGCGTTGATAGGGGACCGCAGAGCGGGGATTGGCTGGCAGTCGACTCGCCGCTTCCAAATATGGGACAGTGTCCGCGGTCCATTCATAAAACTACGGGGCGCGCCGTCGCTCGGCTCAGTTCGTGCGCGACCCCCACGCATCGCGCGTCCTCTGATAATCCGAGCGCGTGATCTGCTGCCTCCGAACACACGCACACCTAACCGCGGCAAGGTACCACGTCCAAGACGCGAGACGCACGATAAATCCGAGGAAGGAGCTAGAAGGAGGCGAACACGAGGAGAGACAAAGAGACGGGAAAAGAACGTGGAGAGAGAGGGAGTTGGAGGAAAGAGAGGAAAGAAAGAGACAGAGGACAAACGGAACGACAAATAGGCGCGCGGTCGCGCGCGCGCCTGCACCTACGCAAATAAACGCGCGCGCCTGCGCGCGCGCGCACCAGTCATACGCGCCGCGTACAGCATTTTCATTTCGCGAGTGGGAAAAAAAGAAAAGACTCGACGCCTGATTCGATTCGCGAATTCGCAAACTTGGACGACCGAAAGATAAATTCTGAGAGGAAAGCGATAAAGAGAGAAAACGTGCTAATTCGGTGACGCCTTGGAAGAGAAGAGTAGCCGCGGTTCCGCGATTTCATCCCCCTTGACACCAGCTCGAGCCGCAGATCCGCATAGTCGCGCATAATCCTCGTTCACATTGGTAGCGCGCGGGCGCGCTCGAAAGAGAGACGAAAACAGGGACCGGGAGTCTCTGCGGTCAGACCGGCCGGCATCGTAGCGGATCGGGCTGAGGATCGAAAGGAGGAGAATCGGTCGCGATCCGACGAGATTGGATTTTTCGAGACTCACCGCGCGTATAATTGGGTGGTGGTGGTAGTGGTTGATGGTTGGTGGTGGTTGTGCGCACGCGGTGGTGTATCCATCCAGCCGCCTCGGCGACGGCGATCGCAGGCGCGCGCGCGCTCACTCGCTCCGCGATAGAGAGTGGGATCTTGAAGGGAGAAGAGAGAGAGAGAGAGAGAGAG